AATTAAAATTTTAGTTTTTAAATATATAATACGATTCTATTTTTTTTAATCGAGACTAATACGTATTAATTTATATATATATATTTAAATTTATATAATCCTGCTGTGATCAATTCTTGGAGATGGTTCACTTATTGAGAGGGTGCCAATCGACAAGTTAACCTACTATACTTGAAAAATATGTAATGATAAAAATTTGGTCACGTGAAAGATAATTTATTATTATTATTAATTAATATATATTTTGAAAATAATGCCTATCCATCTTATTTCTAAAATTTAAGAGGAAAATCACTATAAAATTAAGTAGTTTTAATAAATTCTCATTAAAAAATATAAAAATACTCTATTTTTAAAGCATAAATTACACTTTTTTTGTCTTCTGTCTTCTCTCATGGTGCTTTATCAAAATAATATAATTTTAAAATAATTTTCTTCATAATTTTTAAGAAATAAGGGGAATAAGTGTTGGAAGTTAAATATTTGGATAAAAAATTGTTGATGGACATTTTTGTAAAAGGTCAAATTCGGACTCAGTTAGTCCCCATGTCACCAAGACCTACCTTGATCTAAGCAGCCCTTAATGCCTTCAACACACATTTACCAAAAAGCCCAGCAGTATATGATGCTGTAATACATGGCTAAACCTAGCAATATCTGATGCTATGATACATGGCTAGGCTCAACAGTGTCTATTGCTACAATACATGGCTACATCCCTAGAAATACAAAGGAAACCCCAATGATATCTAGAATACATAAGGAAGTCCCTTACCTTTATTATTTCCTTGTTTATTAAATCTTATCATTTTCATCAACTGATCACTATTTTTATATGCAGGTAGTCAATGAACCCATGAATCTAAACTCATGGGTATTATTCAGGATAAACTATGGGAGTAGCGGCTTGATAGGCATGGATGGGTGAACGTTGCCTCTCTAGCGAAGCAAGGTATTCGCACCAGCAAAGCTTGGCGCTGGCGATGTTGCCCGACTTTGCCAGAAAAGGCTGGGTGGTGAAGACGTGGAGGCAGATTTGATCTCCAAAACTATACTGTTTGATGCTAACTAGAAGCTTGGAATTTGGTTCAAAACCAACCAAAGATGCTATTTTGGTTACCATCAACAACTTGCAACCATATTCAATGCAAAGGTGGCTGCATAGTGTTGAAAATTGTTAAAAAAAGGGTGGCTACACAAGTTCCTTGACCTTGGGAACTGTTGAAAAAGATTTGATCTTGCTGGGAAAATCTACCAAAATCTTAGGCAGACCTTGGGAATCTTCCAAAATCCTGGGCAGTCTTTGGAAATATACCAAAATCTTGGCCAAATTTGATTTTGCCAATTGCACTCAATTATCCCCCCAAAAATGGAATTTCGTATGGCTGGAAAGTTATCCAAAATGGATAGCTTTTAGCAAATTAACAGTACTTAGCTGAACCCAGTGGTGCTTCATTGGAATTGGTGGTGCTTTGCCAGAACCATTAAGTAATTCATAATATCACTACTAAAAATCTATCAGTCATGCCCAAAACCACTCAAAACTCGACAGCTCACCTAAATCTACCCATTAGGCCACTGTGAACCTCTGACCCATTAACCCAAAAATTACAAAAATGCCACTGCACATATATATATATATATTATTTTTCCTTCATTTTTCAGCATAACAGACCAAATTTTCCACTACTCCAACTTCCCTCTCACATACCAAACCTCCCTTCTTCCTCTGAAAAATACTTCATCCTCACCCACTCACTCTACATGCTGAAATTACCTAGTAATTAACATTTTCTTCATATTTTTTGCACTTCCAGCACTGCTGAACAATTTCCAAACTTGCAAAACATCATGTTGAGAGACAGCATACTACAGATTCATTTTTTGGGTTATTTTCATGAGCATCAAAGGTTTACGTTGAAGAGTTAGCATCAAAAATAGGATCAAGCCCTCCACACAGAAGCCCCCAAAACAGTCATCCTTCCTTCTCCGATCACTACTTTCAAGTTTATTCTTTTTGTTCTTGAGAAAGCTTCAAATGAGGAATTGTTGTACTTCATATTTGCACTATGAAAGTTGCTCATTATAGAGTGGGAGTATTTATTAGAGATAATAGAGGACACATTCATTGTCATTGTTATTATGATACAATACTCTATGTATAAATGTGCTTCTTAAGTTGTAACCTTTGATCATCATGTATTTTTGATCCTTGACACTCCTACCACAATGTATATTTCCTTTTTATATTTTTTGCCAGTTGTGTAATTATTCTTCTGACTTTGCTAAAGAAGGTTCACTCTCAGACTCTATTGGAGACAGTGATTTGGCTGAGGATGCTCTATTCTCGAGCTTCACCAGAAAAGCTCTATTTCCAAACTTTGTTGGAGAAGCGCTATTTTTGGACTTCGTTGGAGAACCTCTATTTTCGAACTTTGCTGAAGAGACTCTATTTCTTGACTTCGCTGGAGAAACTTTACTTCTAGACATTGTTGGGGAATTTGCTGCTGACCAACATCACTGGACATCTTGGAACTCCATCGTCATTGCCAGCTCTCTTTCTCTGCTTGGTTGGAAAACTTACACCTTCAAACTTTGTTGGGGAATTTGCTATTGACCAACATCACTAGACATCTTGGAACTTTGTAGTCGATACCAACTCTCCTTCTTGGCTTGGCTGGAAAACTTACACCTTCAGACTTTATTGGGGAATTTGCTGCTAACCAACATCACTAGGCAGAACGGGATGGCTTGTGGCATGTAGCCTCTTGCACGTAAAACGGGTGCTACCAACAGGACCCTCCTCATCATTCACGGGTGGCATCCTAGTTAGCCTCCACATCATCACCACTGCTGACTCATCAACCTACATCACCAGCACACCCCAACAAAAATAAAGTATTATATTTTATAAATTGAATTTATTTTCTTATTAAATTGTTGTAGGTTAATTGCCTTATTTAAGGGCATATTCTCTTATAATGATTGGTTAATTTATTCCTATAATTAACCTACAAATAGAGGTTACAAGATCAAGAATCCTATAAATTGAATTTATTTTCTTATTAAATTGTTGTAGGTTAATTGCCTTATTTAAGGGCATATTCTCTTATAATGATTGGTTAATTTATTCCTATAATTAACCTACAAATAGAAGTTACAAGATCAAGAATCCTATAAATAATGCATGTTACTTTTGTCAAAAAAAGACCAAGTTCCTCCCCATTTTTTTAGTTTTTTTAGCTTACTTAATCTTCTAAATGTTTTTGGGTAAAGAAGGATATCTTGAGTTGGTGACTTTATAATTAATGTAAATTCATAGAATATTATTATAAAGTTATAGCATTTTAAGGGCAACATGCTATATATATCCTCTACTGCATCGATAAATCGCTTTAAAATAAATAAATCTTTTATTTCTATTTTAATAATATTTTTTATAGATATTTTTATGATAAGTTCACTAATTACTATTTTATTGATTTTGTAACTAAAGTACAACAATGAAATGATGCAAAGATGGAGAAAAATGTTCTATAAACAACAATAAGCACTAATCCCATATATTTCTCCCATTAAAAAATTAATATATATATTTTGAAAGAATGCATGAAGAATTAATATAATAGAGTGGAGATCTAATTATATACAAATTTTAAATATTATACTTTCACAAAATTTTAACTATTCATTTTTTCACTCTCTATAGTTGAGATTTGTCATGATTTTTCAAATAAAAAGATAATTATTTTTAATAAATATGATAAAAATTGAATAAATCTCAACTATTAAAAGTACAGAGATTAATAGTCAAGATTTTATGTAAATGTGGTATATAAAATCTGTGTATATGTATATCTTAACGCATATACATATATATTATAGGAATCCACTTACACATAAATCTGATACATCACACCAAACTAA